GAAGGATTGAGGTGAAAGCACTGGAATAATGAAGTGAAACAAACTGGCTTCGTTAAAGGTAGTCATTTTAAGTGAGCTACAGAGTGAACTGTTCTTCAAATATATGTAGTGTTCACTTGTCTAACAGCAATTCTAAATAACCTTTTAATCAAAGAAGTACTTATGCCAATATATTTAGTCCAGAAGAATATACTTGACACTAGTTAAGTGAATGGCTTACACAAAGGAGATAGTGTTACATTAAGCTTCATTAATAATAAAACTGACTATTAGCATTTTGCAAGGAAGGCTAGAACTGATTTCCTCTGTAATGGGCAAAGTTAAGTAACTATAGCTCATAAGTTTTAAGTCAAATACTGCTCATTCATTGCTCCTGATCTTGTCAATACTTGCTGTAAAGGTTTGGTCCCAACACAAGGCTGATAAAATGGTTTTTATCAGGCCATAAATAACAGCTTTTCAGTAGAGTTGCACTTTTCACACTGGCCTGTTTGATTTCTGATAATTTGTACTGCTGACTGTGCTTACCTGTTTTTCAATAGCTACAATCGGAGTGACTTCTTGTTCATATGGTGATAGGTAAGTCTCCTTGGAGAACATCTTTGACAAACTACCCTATTGATCTCTGTAATTCTCTGCTGCTTGCAGCATTAAATAGAGCCTTGATTTCTTGTCTGATGTGCTCACTGTGTAACAATTAAGCAAATGTAATATTTTCTTGTATTACATGAAAATCAATAGACCTCTTGCTCTCATGAAGTTGATCATGGTAAAGGATGAACTCAACAATGGCTAAGGGCATGGTTCAAATATTTAAAGTATCATTCCTTGGATTTATGAAGTCTTGTAGTGAACCATTTAGTCTGAAAAAATTCTTTTCATTGAACAGCAATGGTTCAAGTTTTTTCTCTAAATTTGGATATTACATCAAAGTATTGTGGCCTAAAAAGGATAAAATATAAATGCTGGAGGCAGGAGATTGATTCTATTTTTAGCAACAGTGCTATCTTACTTTTTGACCTCAGGCTAATAACTACTTTGTATCTTAGTTTTTTCCACCTGTAGTCTAAGAAGGACAAAACAAGAAACCTTTCTGCCTTAAAATGTATCATGAATGTGCTTGTGAGCAAATGTCAGTTTTACCTTAATTTCAGAAAAGCTGGTTTTGTAATCCTCATTCTTGTGTTCCATATATATTTAAGTTTAAAAGACTTCATCAATAAAAGGATTTTTTAAATAAGTGAGAGGAAGGGAGGAAGAGACATCGAACATTGAAGGCAGTTTGTGCGAGTGTGTCTGTGCGCATGCTGGTTATGCCTGAGATGGCAAGCAGGGTTCCAAGTGGACCCTGCCCTTCTGGATAGCAGGAGTTTTCTTAGTTGATGAAACAGACAGCTTTTCTGCCTATACTTCTTTAATGGGATTTTTAGTCTTTAAAATCATCCAGGCAACTATTTTTTGAATGAAGATGAAGTTTTATTTTAGTTTAAAATCTTGCATCTCTTCTATTGTTATTTCTATACAAATCAATTATCAAGTGTTGGAAGAAGTTTCTAGTCAAAATTCGTGTTCCTGTATAAGTTGTGAACCACCATAAAGATGCAGTAACAGAGTTGGGAGCAAGAAAGAGATTGCTAATTAAAAAAAAAAAAAATCCCTAGTTTCTCAGTGCTAATGTCTTAACATACCAAATTGTACAAACAGTTCTAAGTTCGTTCATCATACATATTTGGCCACTAATATTTTGCTTATTGTTGACCAGTAACAATGGAAACAATTATTACAAGCCATACGTATTTCTTTTAAAATGTACATTTCATTTTGTCATTTATATTTATATCACTCAAAATTATAATCACAGATCATCTATAATTCTTCACAAAATATCTCTGAATTCTATTAAAGAATGAATGTTGTTTGAATGAGTGGAGTGACCTAAAGACAAGGATCTGGGTTTCATTTCATTTAAAAGCTAATGCAGATAACAGAAACCTTATCCTAAAGCTGGTGGATCAGGTATCTACTTTTTTTCAGCACTTACCATTCAGACAGTAATGATGTTTGGGGGCATCTTAACCTAAACAAGTACTTAGCATTACATCTCACCTGGGTCAACAGTCTAGGGTATCAGAGTTAAACTGTGTTACTGTAAATTAATGGAAAATGTAACTGCACTTTGCTGAAAGATCAATGTCCAATAAAGGCTGCACAATCAAATCTTGTTGCAATGATTGAGGTCTTTAATTGCCTTTCAAAGATAAGGTGGTAATCAACACAGCTTTAACTGATCTTTTTTACTAGTTCAATTACATGCTAATGACTAGTGCCAAGTCAGAATCTTTAACTACTTATTAAATGTTACGTTAGTAATGAAAAATTCCTTTAGCTTACACAATCGATAGAACACACATCTTAATTACTGTATTTCACTTTTATACCATTTTATGTGCTTGACAAATGTTTCACAAGAGCTTTCCCAACAATAAGAAGTGTTATTAGTAGTGACCACAGTCCACAGAGTATTTTTCTAATATAAGTTGGAGATCAGATGTTGAGAAAAAAAATTTAAATGAAGATGTGGATAAAATAGTTTCCAATGACACAAGCTCGGCCATCCAGCAACTTAGACCTGTTTTGCTAATTGAGAGTACATTTAATACAACTCTAGGTGCACAGGCTTCAGTAGGTGTGGCACGCCGGCTCAGTAGTTGTGGTGCACAGGCTTAGTTGCTCTGCAGCATGTAGGATCTTCCTGGACCAGGGATCACACCCGTGTCCCCTGCATTGGCAGGCGGATTCTTAACCACTGTGCCACCAGGGAAGCCCCTAGTAAGTGTATTTCTAAGTTCAGTTAGCTTTCTAGTAAAGCAACTGTGATTTCATATACTGCTTACTGTAAAAATCTCCTATTTGGGGAAAGGATAAATGTTAGAAAAGGCAAATGACAAAAAAAAAAAGTTAAGTTGGACATCATCAAAATTAAAAACTTTTGTGTTTTAAAGGACACTATCAAGAAAATAAAAGACAACTGATAGAATGGGAGAAAATATTTATTTGCAAATCATATATATGATAAAGGGACCTATAGCCAGAATATATAAAGAACTCTTCTAACTCAACCCAATTGAAAAATAGATTTGGACAGACATTTCTCCAAAGAAATTATACAAATAGCTACTAAACACATGAAAGGCATTTAACTATTAGGGAAAGGCAAATCAAAACCACAACGAGATACCACTTTATACCCACTAGGATGGCTACAATCAAAAAGACATAATAACAAGTGTTCGCATGAAATGTGGAGAAGTTGGAACCCTCATACGTTGCTAGTGGGAATGTAAAATAGTGCAGCCACTTCGGAAAAGTTTGGTCGTTCCACAAAATATCAAACATGGAGTTATATTACCCAGCAATTCTGTTCCTAGGATACATACCCTAGAGGATTGGAAATATGTTCACACAAAAACTTGTACACAAGTGTGCATAGCATTATTCATTCTAGCAAAGAAGTGGAAACAAATAACTGATGAATGGATAAAAATAAAATTTGGCATATTCACACAACAGAATATTAGTCAACCAAAAAAATGAAAGAAGTACTGATCCATGCTATAGCATTGACAAAGCTTTCTTGAAAACATTACACTAAGTGAAAAAAGCCCATACATTGTGTGATTCCACTTATATGAAATGTCCAGAATAAGCAAATCTATAGAGACAGAAAGTGGATTAGTGATTGCCTAGGACTGGGGAGGTTGGTAGGAAATGGGGAGTGACTGTTAATGGGCACGGGGATTCTTTTGGGGGTGATGAAACTGTTCCAAAATTGATTGTGGTGATGCTTGCACAATTCTGTGACTATACTCAAAACATTGAATTGCACACTTTAAATGGAAGAACTGTATGGCATGTGAATTATCTTTCAATAAAGCTGTTAAAAAACTAGTAAAGGGGGGAGGGGAAGTGGGCAGTTAGTGTTTAGTAGGTATAGAGTTTCAATTGTGTAAGATAAAAAGAGTTCTGGAGATAGATGGTATTGATGGTGGCACAGTAATGTGAATGTACTTAATAACACTGAACTGTACACTTAAAAATGGTTAACATGATAATTTCTGTGTGATGTGTATTTCACCATAAATTAAAATAAATTTTAAAAATTAGTAAAGGATTCATTATTACTATGATAAAATATGACTGCATAATTTCTATAGAAAATAACTGTGTTTAGAAAAATGTTAGAAATTAAAAGAGGTAAAACATGAACATCATTTTATATGTTGTATTCTTGGAATTTTAAAAATTTTAGTATGAAACCTAGTTTTTATTTTTTTAACATCTTTATTGGAGTATAATTGCTTTACAATGGTGTGTTAGTTTCTGCTTTGTAGCAAAGTGAATCAGCTATACATATACACATATCCCCATATCTCCTCCCTCTTGCGTCTCCCTCCCAACTTCCCTATCCCACCCCTCTAGGTGGACACAAAGCACCGAGCTGATCTCCCTGCGCTATGCGGCTGCTTCCCACTAGCCATCTATTTTACATTTGGTAGTGTATATATGTCCAT